ATGAGTATTTGCCTAGGATTCACAAAGCCCAGAGTTCAATCCCTAGCATGGGGGGGTGGAGTTAGGAATTAATGCTACAAGATTCCCTGAAGAGAGTCATGACTTGTTCTGGGCCATTATCAGAGCTGTTCCTTGATTTGACTGCCTAGCCTTTGATCCAAGCCAGTACAGTCTCTGCCCATCCCCATCTTCCCAGACAGGTCAGACAATAATACCCTCTGGTAGGTACCATTGACACTGTGTAATAAGAATAGAACAATAGCTACAGCAACAGCTACTATTGATTGAACACTGTTTAATCACAGCAATCTGGGTTAAAGGCAAAGTGTAATTAAATAGTATGCTTGCCTAATATGTGTGAGAACATGGGTTTTGATTCCCAGCACCAGGGCAGGGGAATCCCATGTTTGCAGATAAGAAACTGAGCAACATGACCAAAGTCATGCATGCAAAGTAACCCAGGTCTGCTTAGCCCTGGAATCCATGTTCTGACCACTGGTCAGCAAAAGAGGTCCTGCCCTCCCCTCCTACTTGCAATCCTGAACCCTCAGTGGAGCCTGCTAGTCTAAGTCTGATCCCCTATGGCAGCCAGTCTTCTCACTCGGACAAAGGACAAAAGAGTTTCTGTCTGCGTCGTGGGGCATGGAGTCCCTCCCAAATGGCTTTTCAGTACAATCACTCTGAATTTGGCTTGCATCTTCTCTTGAGGTTTTCCTCTTGCATTTTGTCCTTTCAGTGTCCTTCTCTAACCTTAATTCAAGGACCTTACAGCTGAAATCCCACAAGACTTCTAGTTTCCTCATTCTAGTGATTTCACTCATCTTGGGCCTCCTGGCTTTAGGAAGTTTAAAGAGTTAAGGAAGGCCTGAGCTGTAGTTGGGAGTCCTATTTAGGTGATGAAACAAACAAAACGCAACAGCATTTTAGGAATTTTTTTTTCTCCCTCCAAGTCTCAATTAGATGTGGAAGTAGATTTGAAGAGGCAGATGAAATTGAGATTGCCCGGATTGGAAAGATATGTAAATCCTTTCTCTTCTATCCGTTTCTCTGCCCCGTTTTGGGGATTGGAAATCTGTAACTGAAAATATTTTAATATTAAGAGAATTAAGTAAAACACGAATGGAGCACGAGGACTTCAACACAAACTCCTGAATCATAGAGAAAAAGCACCAGAGTAAGAAATTCCGTGCTTGTGGAGGAACGATTCGGGCTCCTCCCCCACCCGGGCAGAACTTAGCTCTGAGGTCTGGAGAAGAGTGCGCCTGGCACGGAGTGAAGGTGGCTATTGTGACTTCCCGGGCCCCGGAAGGGGTGGCTCAGTGCCAGGGTGTGACCTGGACCATGGCCCTGGGAAGGAACTGTCCTTCCTCTCGGCTGTACTCAAGGAGACGGTTCTGGGTGAGAGGGCGTGTCAAAGGCGGAGTCTCAGGCTCCACCCCATCTCCGAGTCCGCTCGCTCAGGGTCCACGTGGTTCTCATACAATTTACTCCCAGAGCCTGTGGTCCTCAGCCCGCTTGTGGTTGAGGTTGCGCTGCAGAGAGGGTCACTCCCCCAAGGTCTGACTGTGACCTCTGCCCAGAAAAGACCAAAGAACGCGCTCTTCGGGCAGACCTGGAATTCACCAGCTTCCAACAACTAGTCTTGGACCAAGAGTTTTGGAGTTCTAAACAAGTGAGCGGCCCCAGAAGGACAGGGCCGGGTGACAGGCCATTGGGCTCGCCATGGCTGCGCCCGCCCGCCGTCTGTGCCATGTCGCTTTCCATGTCCCAACTGGGCAGCCCCTAGCGAAGGACCTACACCGCCTCTTCGGCTTCCAGCCTCTGGCTGTGCGGGAAACAGGTGGGTGGAAACAGCTGGCTCTGCGCAGCGGAGATGCAGTCTTTCTAGTGAACGAAGGCTCGGGCCCGGGGGAGCCACTGTACGGCCTGGATCCGCATCACACGGTGGCCAGCGCCACGAACCTGTGCTTCGATGTGGAGGATGTGGACGGCGCCGCCCGGGCGCTGGCGGCACGGGGCTGCGCCGTGCCGGTACCACCCACTAGCGTGAAGGATGCACAGGGCACAGCCATCTACACAGTGGTCAACTCTCCGGCTGGTAATCTTAGCTTTACATTGCTGCAGCGTGCTGGCTATCGCGGATCCTTCCTGCCCGGATTCAGACGGCTACCTTGCACACCTGGCCCCTGCTGGGTCAGCCACGTGGACCACTTGACCTTGGCCTGCACCTCTGGCAGCTCCCCTACACTTAGGCGCTGGTTCCAAGACTGCCTTGGGTTTTGCCACTTGCCGCTGAGCCCAGGTGAAGATCCGGAGCTGGGCCTCATGGTGTCTGCAGGGCCTGGGCGAGGGGGACTAAGGCTTACTGCCCTGCAGATCCCTGCCGACAGCACTGTCCCTACCCTTGTTCTGGCAGAGTCCCTGCCGGGACCCACCAACAAACAGGACCAGGTAGAGCAATTTCTAGCCCGGCACAGGGGGCCAGGCCTGCAGCACGTAGGACTGTACACTCCCAACATCATGGAAGCTTCTGAAGGGATGATGAAGGCGGGAGGCCGCTTCCTGACCCCTCCTGAAGCCTACTACCAGCAGCCTGGCAAAGAGGAACAAATCATAGCTGCAGGGCACAAGCCCAGCCTTCTAGAAAGGCAGGGAATTCTACTAGATGGCAATAAAGATATGTTTTTGCTTCAGGTCTTCACCAAGTCCCTCTTCACTGAGGACACCTTCTTTCTGGAGCTGATTCAGAGACAGGGGGCCACAGGCTTTGGCCAGAACAACATCCGGGCACTATGGCAGTCGGTGCAAGAGGAAACTGCCAGGGCCCAGGGAGCCTAACCCGGGCTACATGTGGGAGTTGCCACTAGTCCTAGGTTCTGGGAGTGACACACCTCAGAGCACCACACCTCCACAGGATCACACCTCAGATAAAGGCCATCTGTGCCCTCAGGGCCAGGTGCAAGTCTTCATTCTAACCAGTACCTGCCAATTCTAGAGTCTCTTGTTAGACTCCAAAGAGTTGGGATTTAAAACAACCCCTAAAATGTCTAACGCATTTAGGTAATATAAAGAATAAAGAAATGAGATTGTAAGACACAACACCACTCTGGAGTCTTTGTGTTTTCTGTGTTTCCTTCCCATCAACTCTTCGGGTCTTATGATTATTAAACCTTGTGCTTTCTGAAGTTTCATTGTGAAATGTACCCTGAATAAAAAGGAATTCAATACAAACCCTCCTGTGTTGATCTCACTAGGGAGCAACAGCTGCAGGTGCAGACAGGACTAGGTCAGGGTTAGCCCAACCACCTGCTCTAAGATGATGCTGCAGCTGCAATCAGAGCTTACCTGAGACCCAGACTGGGAGCATTGGATGTCAGCCACAGACAGGTGCTCCCTGCAGCTGCCCTCACTCTTTACTGGGGAAGAACACTCAAGTCAGAATGCGTCCAGCCTCCAGGGCTGCTTGGGAGCTCAGCCAGAGCAAGTCAGAACCAAGCCGACTTTACCATTTTCTTAGCCTCTGACAAGTGAAAGAGCTACAGAAAGTGTGGAATGGTCTCCAAAAGGACTACAAAAATAAGCATTTTATTAGACTGGATTTGGGGTAGGCTTCACAAGGGTGTCACTGGGTCATACTGTTGGGTATGTCTGAGGGAATATGAGGCTGAAAGAAACTATCCAGGATTTGCTGTCCCCGGCTGGGTTTTTTCCGGCTTGATGGAGTAGACACCCGGGACCTTTTAGAACCCTGTGCAAAATACAAAGATGGGAGGTAATAAGTACACATCAGGGAATCTAGCCTAACACTGGAATTTCCCACCTGCCTCCAAGTATCAATCCCTTTAGTCGACTCTCTAAAAAGTGCCCAAGAAAATCTTGCTAAAATGCAAAGCTGCAGCAGTGTGCATAGCTCAGCTGACAAAGGGCTTGCTTAGTGTTAGATAGAACTGGGTATGAGAGGCACACGCCTATAATCCCACCAGGAGGATCAGAAGTTCAAGGACATCATCTTCAGCTACACAGTGTGGATGAGGCCAACATTACATGAGACTCTCAAGGGGGTGGGGAGTAAGGGAATGGCTCAGTGGTTAAAAGTATGTGGCAGCCAGGCGGAGGTGGTGCATGCTTTTTTTTTTTTAAAGATGTATTTATTATGTATACAGGGTTCTGCTGTTCTGCCTACATATAGGCCTGCTGGCCAGAAGAGGGTACCAGGTCTCATTACAGATGGTTGTGAGCCACCATGTGCTTGCTGGGAATTGAACCCAGGACCTCTGGAAGGGCAGTCAGTGCTCTTAACCTCTGAACCATCTCTGTAGCCCGGTGGTGCATGCTTTTAATCCCAGCACTTGGGAGGCAGAGGCAGGCAAATGGCTGTGAGTTCAAGGTCAGCCTGATCTACAGAGTGAGTTCCAGGATAGTCACGACTGTTACACAGAGAAGCCCTGTCTCAAAAAAGCAAAAGAGAAAGAGAGAGAGAGAGAGAGAGAGAGTGTGTGCACGCGCTGCTATTGCAAAGGACCTGAGTTGGAGGGCCAGTACATATGTTGCATAGTTCACAAGCAAGTACCTATAACATCAAATCTAGGGAAGCCAATGCCCTCTTCAGGCCTCTATGGGCACTACACTCAATGTATATATACACACTGATACGTACACATAATTAAAAATAATAAAGATAAATCATCTTTTTCTAGGACTCAAATGAGCAGTTCTTCTCATTAAGCAGCTTTCCCTGATTCTTGTCTCTGAAATGGTTCCCTACCACATATGCCACAAAACCCAACACAAACACTTCACCTACCTGCGACACCAGAGCCCACATCAATTTGTTCTTGTCCCCCCCTACCCTGTAGTTCTCACTGTACAATCATTCTCTAGTTCATAAACTGTACCTCTGTCCCCAGCGAATGGATAAGATTCATCCCCAAATGTCAGTAAGTGACTTAAAAACCACCAGAGGCAGGCCTGGGGAAAGATGACAGGATGAACCTGGGGCTCACCTTGCAGGTCCCTCGCCGATGGTCCTCATACATTCGGAATACCTAGCCAAGATGGAGGTGGAAGGAAACAAAACAGGGCTGGCACCTCTCCAAAAAAAAAAAAAAAAAAAAACCACAATGCCCTGAGTGCCACCCAAACCTACGGTCAGCCCCAGCAATCTTGTTTAAAATATATATTTCTTTTATATAGCAATAAGTTCATGTAAAACAAGCAAGAGGCAAATAAGGAAAGATAATAAAGGTGGTGCCTTTTTCACGGCGGTAGAGACAGCTGCAGTGTGGAATTCCTCCCAAGTCAACCATCGAGCGCCAGGAGGTGCAGGGGTCACTGGGGTCTGTCCTTCTAGGGTCACACGATATACCTGATACGTCAGTTTGATGTGAGAGAAGGCGTGGGTCACCTGTGGGAGAAGAGATGGAACCAGCTCTGTGAATGTGAACACAAAAGCCTTCATTCCTGGATTCCTGGCACCTTTGCTAACCTACCTCCCCCAGGTGCTGGGGACGAGTGGCTGGGAGGAGTCCAGACCAGCTCTGCAGTTCCTGCAGGAGGGCTTTGTGCTGCTGCTCTTCTGAGGGCTCCAAGGCAACAGATGGAAACTCCCACAGTCCTGCCAGCAGACCTGATGGTGGCCAGATCCGAGGTCAGTGTCTTCTGCTCCCTCTTCTATTCCTCTGTTGCTTGTGACACTGCCCTCTAATCCCCATATTCAGATACCTGAGTTAGACCTCTGCACCAGCAGGATGAGGGGACCCCCAGTGGCTCTGGGCTGCTCCAGAACACAAGTGGCAGAGTGCTCCTCTCTGGGAGGCCTGCGGCTGGCCTTTCGAGGAAAGTTGGCCACTCCCAGAGTGGGGTCCCAGGGTTTTGTGGGAGGTAAGCAAAGCTGGCACTGTCTAGTCTTGAGAGCTGGAAACAGATCCCAAACTGCTCCAGCAAGTAGCCTTAGGTGCCAAGCCCAGTGGGAGGCTTAGTCCCACTGCAACATCAGCATCTTCTCAGGCCTGAAAAGGCAGCTCCCTGACAGGGACAGGGAGGGCAGGCTAGGACCAGGGCTGGTGCTTACCACACTCCTCTATGTCAGGACTGCCTGGCAAGGCTACGAGCTGTTTGCACTCCATCTGAGAGACATAGAGGAGGGTGTCATAGGGCAAAGGTCATTCACTAGGGCACCCCAACTCTTCCTCAGGAGGCTTACCCTCTGGTACGCCTGGCAAAGGCTCTGCACAGGGCACTGGCTGCAGAGAGGGTGCTGTGGAGTACACACTGTGGCCCCCAGCTCCATGGCTGCTTGATTGAAGTCCCCAGGCCGGGCTGGATCCACTAGCTGATGGGCTAGGCTCCTAAAAGTAAGGAACACTACTACAAGCAAAAACCCTGTGAAGAGACCCTTCCCAACTTCCCATCATCCCAATATCTTACCAGAGGTGATGAGAGACAAAGGTGCTGCTGGGATCGGCACCAATGGCGCGGACACGGCACAGCACCCGTAAAACATTCCCATCCACCACACCAGTTACCTAGCAAAGAGGAGCCTGGGAGTCAGGCTGGACATGGAAGAAGGGAGGTGTACATGTTAAATACAGGTGACATATGGGCTTACCTGGCCAAAGGCAATGGAAGCAATGGCTCCAGCTGTGTACCGCCCCACGCCAGGCAGGAGCTGCTGTAGGGTGTCTGCTGTACGTGGCACATGACCTCCTAGCTCCTCTACCACCTGATTGGAATAGAAAGGCTCACAGTATTAAGACATCTCAGGCCACTGGCCTCCTACTCTTTGGTGCACCACCCATTTACCTTCCTAGCTCCCTCTTGCAGCCGACGGCCTCGAGAATAGTAGCCGAGGCCAGACCAGAGTTGGTTCACTTCCTGAAGGTGGAGGTGAGAGTTCAAAATCAGAGTTCAACCTCAGTTGTTTCTGTTCTCCCTACCCAAGGGTGGCTCACCTCCAGGGAAGCACTGGCCAGGTCCTGGAGCGTTGGCCACTTCTGTAGTTCCAAGACAAGTAAGAAGGTCAAGGATGAGGATGGTGGAGGAACCCTTTTTCGGGGTCTAGCCAACTCTTCCCTCCCTCCCTGGCATCACCTGCATCCATCGGTTATAATAGTCGATCACTGTGGCAACTTGGGTCTGCTGCAGCATAACCTCTGACACCCATACTGGGGAGGGGGTTAACTAACATGAGTGAGTCACCCCGGCTCCTAGCCCCTAGCCCCCAAACCTAAGCATAACCCCTACACCCAAGGACTTACAGGCAAAGCAGCCCAGTTTTGTACTGACCAGCATAGGCCCGCCTGTCCAAGTCGGCCTCCTCCTCTACCTGTCAATGAAACCACAGGTGGAGATTCAATATCGAAAGAGCTAAATTCCAAGCCGGGCGTTGCCGCACGCCTTTAATCCCAGCACTTGGGAGGCAGAGGCAGAGGATCTCTGTGAGTTCGAGACCAGCCTGGTCTACAAGAGCTGGTTCCAGGACAATCTCCAAAGCCACAGAGAAACCCTGTCTCGAAAAACCAAAAAAAAAAAAAAAGAGCTAAGTGCCAGGTTCTCACTCATTGTTCCTGTCCCACTTACCCATCTTCTCCAAGGAAGGTCCCGCTTCTCTTGGTCATACCAGCTGAGCAAGGTCCTTCGGAAAGTCTCGACATCCGCCATGTCTCTGAACAGATGGTATGGGGAGACGGAAGTCTGCAGTAACTCCTCTCCCTTCTGCTTGGCCCGGCCTGCAGGACAGCCAGGACACTCAGGGATCAAACACCGCCCCCATTTTTTTTTTAATTATTTTTAAGTACTTGTGTATCTGAGGTATCTGATTCCTTAGAGCTGGAGTTCTGGGCACCTGTAAACTGCCCATCTCTCCAGCCACCCTTTTCAGTTTTCTGAGGCAGGGTCTCGACGGGATCTCATATAGTTCAGGCTGGCCTCAAACTTGCTATGTAGCCAAGGCTAACTTCAAACTCCTAATCCTTCTGTTCCAACCAAGCACTGGTATTACAAGAGTAACCACCACAGTTGGCTCTCAGTATTTAATATTTATTATGTTTATTGTGTGTGTATGATGTGAATGTGTGCCATGCGTGCATGTGGAAGTCAAAGGAAGGGCAGCATTCTTGGAGCTGGTTCTCTCCTTCTGCCTTTCTGTGGGTCCTACTCAGGTCACTAGCTAGGTTTGTATGGCAAAAGCTTTTTCCCACTAAGCCATCCTGTGGGCCCTTTTGGGGATCATTTTGCAGGGGTTCATCAGGGACCCAAGGCATAGCAACCTGTAGTAGCCTGTTCCCACTTACAGCTTCTCCTACCCAAATCCCTCATTCATTCAAGCTTTAGAGCTACAATCTGATCAGGTCTAATTATGTGTGGCCTTGGCCAAATTTCTGGTCTTAGTTTTGTCAGAGTGTCTTTGGTCTCTCTGGGCCTCAAATGAAAGCTTAATAGTTTTAGTTAGGCAGAATAAGTACCCATGCAGAATAGCTTCCCTATTTTCAAAACACATTCAGGCTTATAAACTCATTTGATCCCATGAAAGCCACACAGACAGTGAAGAAATACATAGATGAAATTGTTCCATTTTACTGTTAAGAAAATACCCAGAGTTCTTGGCCCAAAGTTACACAGCAAGCCTGAATCTGCCCTCTTGTATGGCCAGTGAAACCAGTTCCTTGACATTATGGCAAGAGCCAGCTCCTTACCAGCAGGGGCAGAAGGCTTGGCCTGGCTGCTGCTAAGGGCACATTTTTTCCTTCTCTCGTGGTTGGTTGACAGCTTTCTGTGACTCCTTATGGATGCTCGTAGCCTCTTCATGATAACCTGGAACAGACAGATGTAGCCAATGTGGTCAGTCACAATGAGGCTGCATCTGAGGAGTCCTGCAGGAACTATAGCCACCTCTTCCCAAATCACTCAGAATGCCCAGCTTTCCTTTTTTGTCCCCGTGTATGTATCATGTGCTACGCTCAGAGGCTAGAAGAGGGTGTCAGATCTTCTGGAACAGTAGTTACAGCTGTTAGTGAGCCACCATATGCATTCTAGGAACTGAATTCAGCTATGAGAACAGCAAATGCTCTTAAATGCTTGAGCCATCTCTCCAGG